TTATTATTATACACGGATATCATCTCAATGTTCATGGCTACAAGTTATTTTTCAGATTCAAAATCTGATATTACATTTTAGTAGTTAATGGATTTTCCAGAAACCATAAAAAAAACTCATCAATGAGAAATTCTATATTTCTCAGGTTATAGATGATTCCACTATATATGTGAACAATATGTGTTTTTGCATAACTATTATTGATGTTCAACAATTTCTTATTGAAAACTAGAGCCAACTTTTGTTACATCAGTCTGTGGTTCTTGAGCTACTTCAAATTTCATGTGCCTCCCACTCGATTTGTCTATTAGAAACTTGTTTTCTAACAACTCAACTTTCAGAAGAATAAGAGATATTATTTTTGGTGGGTTTGTATAAACAATAAACCGAATAACCTTTCGGGAAATTCTACAAATATGTATTTAGTAGATCTTGGGTCTAGAAGCTCTTGTCTTACACAAGTTTCACATCCTTAAAACATTAAGTAAAATAAGGATGAAGCATTTCCATGCTAAACCTCCCAAAGTCTTTTATCTACTTCTTAGGTGGAGTTGTATTCAAAATACAAGTGACATCGATTAAAGTATAATCCTAAAAATAATAAAGGAAGATTATTTTTACTCATTAAAAAGTAACCATATCTGATAAGTTTTAGTTCATCCTTTATTATTTCTAATTTCTTTTATAGTTCTACTGATTTTTTTTATCTCAACTTTTAGATGAAAACTTCAAAAGGTTTCACATTTATATTTTATCATATAAAATATAATTACAACGAATATAGTGGTTAAGTACGTTGATGAGGTATCTTATACTAAACTAGTTATTCATTAGAAGGGAAGTCATGTTGGATTAAGGTGTTTAAGCTCATAACTAAATTGGTATATTCTTGTAATTAAAAACGAAGTCCTTTTTGGGTTGTCTTCATCACTAGAAGTAGTTTAGAATGACATTTGGAGATAGAGAAAATGATTTATTAATTTATTGTGATTAATAAATTAATTAGAAATTGATTAAATTAATTCAGAATTGATCACAATTAATTTGGATTTAATTTTGGGTCAATTTGAATTAATTGGAAGTACAAGAGTTGATCTGTAAACGCTTAATAGTTAAGCAAAGGAAGGATTCTAGATCCTTCCTTGCTTGCACGGTTTTGGAGGCTCCTTTGGCAGCTTTTGGATGCCTTCGGGTATTGATAAGGATAACAACTTGATTTGGATTAAATTAATATTATTTTGAATTTAAATTAGCGTTTATCTTGGTTACCAAACAAGTATAAATAGACCCTTTGCAATATGATTTTCGTCAATCTCTTCTTTTGGAATACCCTAGCCAAAAATCTCTTTCCTTCCCTCTCTCTCTCTCTATCTCTCTCTCTCTCAAAGTTTTCTTCTAGTTTATAGGGTTTGGGTGTAAGCCATTAGAGGCAGTCATTTTTTTGGTGCTAACTTTCTAAAGAACAAGAATGATTCAAGGGTATTGTTTACTAGTGCAATATCAAAAGGTATGTAATCTGAATTAGTAATTTCGATTACATCTAGGGTTTCTTTAGTTTTCATAAGTATGTTGCTATTAGTTGTTAAAAGACATAGATCCATTAGTTTGCATGTACCCTTAAGTGTTAAGTGATTTTTCCACATGTACATTGATTTTTTAACTTATAATTATATGTGCATACAATTATATGTACGGTAAATCTTAGTCATTATCTTCTATTTTAACTATTAAAATCTGAATCCTATAATGAAAGATAAAATTAAAACTCTAATTCGAATTTTGAGGAATTAAATAAAGAAACCTAATATTTAATTATAAGATAATTAAATGGAATTATCCTTTATGGATTTTAATATAAAATTCTATTTGGAGATTGTATAAGTTATAAAAATCATCATTTTCAAACTCATAATTGAGGATTTCAATATTTGACGTTATTAACGGTTTTATAAAACTGGATTCTATTTTAAACCAATAACTTGTTACATCTTATGTCCACATTATAAATTTTGAAAACCAAACACCATGTGATGTTTATTTTGTCCAAAAATTATTTTAGCATGTGAAAAACTAATTTATCAACCACACATAATAATTGCATAAAATAAACAACACAAACATGCATAAAATAAATATATGCATAAACATAACCAACTAATGACATTTTTGTAAGCCAATACAAAAATGTCAAGTACATTCCTAAAGGGACATTTTAAGAGACAAAATATCTTCTTGTAATGTTGTTTTAGAATCTCCGACTTGAGAAAACACCTCTTACTTGCAAAAGTTTGGAAAAACTTCTTTAAAGCAATATTTCAGCAATATGCAACACTTTTCAGAAAAGGCTACAGAAATGTTGCATTATGTTCAACAGCTTCAAGGGAAGTTATCAACAGCAACACCTTCTGCAACAGATCGTTGAAAAGCTTGCAAAAGTTTGGAAAAACTTCTTTAAAGCAATATTTCCGCAATTAATTTTATTTATCTGTTTTGACACCCATAAAGTGATGTCACCAAAAAAATGTCACATCATCATCCTATGTCATCACCACGTCATCAAAGACCAACATGTCACCATGCTACGTCAGTTGGCAACTTGGTTGACCGGTCAAATGGTCAACATTAAAACAAACTGGAAAATATAGTGTCAAAATTACTATTTTTTGAAAACTTACTCTATTAATTATATAAAAAAATATATAGTGTTAAATTCGAAATTTTGTGTAAACTTAGTGTTTTTTATGCATTTTGCCCTTATTTATATATATATATATATATAATATATATATATATATATATATATATATATATATATATATATATACTAGTTTTGATATTAATTAGCGGCAACTATTTCTGGATTAAATTATAAATCGTATAATTTATACGTCCCAAGTCAACCCACCTAAAGGCCCACATGGCAGCTCATTCGATGAACACTAACATTATTTTTTGTATGTCATGTTTTGAACCCTAGATCTCTTATGTGGAATTTCACTTCTCAACCATTAGGCTCCCATTACGGAGGATTAAATGTTTAACACCGAATTGCTTCACAATTTCCTGGAAGAACGGATAATGAAATCAAGAATTTCTAGAATATTGTAACGTCCTAAAATATAGAGTAATTGTTTCATTTTTAATTATTAAACTAACCCAAGTATCATACCAAATAAAAGATAGCTATTAAACGAGTTCAAATCCAAAAAGAGTAATAAATGAAAGTCATAAAATGAGGAATCTCCAATGGATGGGATACAATCAGGTCGCGCCCTCCCTTCGCTACTAAAAGCACCTGAAACGTTTTAAACTGAAAACCGTAAGCACAAAGCTTAGTGAGTTTCCCAAAATACCATACATAACATAGAATAATGGGCCATGCCCTATGGGTATATTTTAAACCGGTTGACCCAACCCTTGTGAATGTTATGATCTAATCATAGTATTATAGTCAATTTTGTTGCTACAACCCATCTGTAGTCTTTCCTGCTATCATCAAACAATAGTCTTTCATGCAAGTCACAAAGATAAACAAGCATACAATGACACCTAGTTTCCTATATAGTATAGTGAGAAGACTCGTCTGATCAAAGCTGAATCACAATAGATTACACAGAAACAACTACACACACAACTGAACCTAAACAGTGGTCAAACCTCAGTCTATAATCTGAAACTCTAAGTTGACCAAAAGTCAACTGATCCAAAAAAAATTCAACGGTCATTAAAAGGCAATGGTACACAACATTCATGTCGTGATCTTTTACATGTCACATGCTGGTTGTGCCTCTAAACCCGGTCTAACAACCACTTTTTTCCTAATGTCTTAATCCTTTAATACATGAGCTCTAACCTTCTAGAGCTCATTAAACATGGTCTTATTGGATAAAGTTCCAAACTTTATTCATGTGGGAGCCTTAAATGATTAGATCTACAACTTAGGTCATAAAAGGGACCAAAATGAGCTTATGACCTTGCATGGCTTCAAATGCAAGGTAACCATCCATATTTCCTTACCAAAAAGGTTCACAAGACCACCAAGAACAACCTTTTGGTCTGGAGTTTTCCAAACTCCACCCACACCATAAGATGGGGCCAAAAACCAAGCCATAATCCTAAATCTAACAAGCTATGAACATAAAAACAATGAACTTGAATACTCACAAAGGTCCAAAGCAAGAAGAAGAAGATTGCTAGCTGCTGGAAAGGACTGGACTAACACCTTGTTGCACTCCAAATACCTTCAAGCTACACCAAAGGAAGGAAAATCACACAAGGGATAAGATGGGGCTACGCTTTGCATGATCGGGTTTCTCTAAGATGGAGGCTGATAGAATGACGAAACCTGAGGGGTTTGTGCCATTAAATAGGCCCAAAAACCGAGGCTTGTAGGGTTTGTCCCAATAGACACATCACACCGCGAACATGATTAGAAGTCGCATCGTGAAAAAATCATGTTGAGACTCCTTGTGAGTTGCACCACCACGACAAAAAAACCCCAAAATTAATCAACTTAAAAGATTGAAAGATTGAAATCACTAACGGGGAAATGGATGTTACAAATACCTATAACCTATGTCGGAGAGAAGCTTCTCAAGATGGGAATCAACCCTAAAATACATATATCGATTCCTTATTGATAGTATCACAAAGTTTAACTTTCCTTTTAAGGTCCCAAGCATCTTGATCTCGTTGGTTAGCGGCGCATCTTGTTGCCCGTTTATCTGCTACATCTATTAAAAAATTACATTCTAATGAATATTTACCCTTGTTTGAAATTGTTGAATATCATATTGCAATTTGTAAGCATGACCCCAAGACATTTCAATTTAAATCATACGTTTATCCTTTCTTCGTGAGTTCAAAATGGAGAAAAAACGATACAAAAAACCATAGAAATACCCCACAATAGATTGTAATTCATGAACTACAATTCCATTTTCAATTACAATTCTTCACACAATAATAAAGTTACATTCTTGATCAATTTCTATATCTAGTTAAAAATCAACATGATACACTTCAGTCATGTCTGGATTGAACAAGCCAAAATGTTGTTCGACCCCTGGATTCTTTCTGTCCTCGTTAAAAAGTGCAAAAACATATGTCTCCACATTCTTGTAAGGCCTCTTAGGAGTACCAGAGCCATGTACGTGGTTCATAAGATTCTGATTATAGGTCTGAGCCAGTTCAATCATCGTGAAATTACCATTTCCTTGCCACGGCCACCCACTCTCACAAATCACCACCTCAACATCACCTGCACTAATCTTTTCCAATGCGGAGTAAACTGCATCAACCATGACATCGAACATATTCTTGTACCCTAGACTTCCATCTCTCACTACAACATCAGGAGAGGTGAATAACACGTACGGTAATTGAATTGAACTTGGTTCATGGATGTAAGTAAAGTAAGGGTACGCAGTGATCAAAAGTGGGAAACCATTGTTAGCTAAGAAACCTGCGATCTGTTGGATTGCAGGCTTGACATCACCTGAAAAATCTCCAGTTGAAGGAGGAGATGAACTTGCTAGTGCGTAAATCCCGACGGCTGTACTCACGGGAATCCGACCAAGACTGAAGAATTGTAAAGCTGCGTTCATATTTTGCATCGCCGGGGAACACCAAAGAATTCATATTACCTGGGATGACTTCATTACCAATGGATATGCAACGGAATGTGATGGTTTGTGTGTATGGGATAATGTTGGTTTGTACCCATGCTTTTGCAAAGTTGATATCTCCTGCAAGAGTGGCTATATCTTGATTGAAGGTTCCAATGATCACTTGGATTCCGGAGTTTTGTAGAGCGTTGAGAACGTTGAGGTCGGGGCTAAAAAGACGAATCCGTGAAATGTTTCTTGACTTTAAGAGGGTTACAACTTGATCTGGAGGAGGGAGGTTGTCTCCCAATAATCCATAGTTAATTCGAATACCACCGCAATCTGGGAAATAAAAGAAATCGAAAACATATTTAGAAATGTAAAGGATATTAATGATTTGCAAAATACAGATTATGAAGATCGATGAACGCATTACCTGCATGAGAACTTAGATGAACTATAAGAACACACATGATGCTTATTGAAGGTAGAAATGAAGCCATTTCGGAACTAGTTTTACTCATGGATGTTGCAAGAAAAATTGTATTGCTATCGGATATATATACTGTAAAACTTAGTAAGATAAGGTCTTATGGGTGCATGAAGAAGACGAAGATGGTATTTATTACAAATTAATTAGGCATTAAAACATACATTATAAATGAAATTAGTTGGATTGTAATACATTGTAATATTAATTACTGATAATTAAATAAGTAAATTTTGATCGGATTTTTTTCATATATATATATATAGATATATATATATATATATATATAATATATATATATATATATATATATATATATATATATAGGAGTAGGATCAAATGAGAACACCAAAAAGGTTGAGAACGCGAGAACAAAGTATATTCATTTGTGATTCCATGTATTCATTTGTGGAGAATGATAAATTTTTACACCTTTAATTTCAATTGAAGAGAAAAAGCATATTCATGTTGATTGTGCGTAAAAATTTATCATTTCTCCACAAATGAATACATGGAATCACAAATGAATATACTTGTTCTCGCGTTCTCAACCTTTTAGGTGTTCTCATTTGATCCTTTCCCTATATATATATATATATATATATATATATATATATATATATATATATATATATATATATATATATATATATATTATATATATATAGAGAGAGAGAGAGAGAGAAAGAGAGAGAGAGAGAGAGGTAGGTTCAAATGTTTCTCACATTTATTGTGTGCTAGAATGCACCAATAGGAATTTAGTATTAATTATATGTATATTAATTGCTATCCATACTTATAACTCATTTTTATGGAAACTAATTAAAATCGTCATTAATGTCAACAATAATATTCTTTCAGAATGAATTCATATCTAGAAGAATGAGAGTGTATTCCAGCAGAATTAGAGTGTATTCTAGTAGAATACACTCTCGTTCTTCATATTTCATTCAATTTTATTGTATTTTGAGTGAGTCTTGAAACAAAATACGAATTCATATATAAAAACCTAGATGCGAATTCATTCTGAAAGAATGTCATTGCTGACATTAATGACAAATTTAATTAGTTTCCATAAAAAGAGAATTATAATTATGAATATCATTTAATATACATATAATTATGGAAATCGTTTAATATCTATATTTATTTAATTCAATAATTATTTAATTTACTAAATTCTTATTGGTGCATTCTAGCACACAATAAATGTAAGAAACAAAATAACTTAGCCCTATATATATATATATATATATATATATATATATATATATATATATATATATATATATATATATATATATCTATATATATATATATATATATATATATATAAACAACTTACTTAAATTAAAAAAGAATATATAATACTTTTGGATAAATGGCAATTTAACGGGTATGATCCATTAAAAATATTATTGTCATATTTTTTGTCCCTAAACCATTTTAAATGATGAAGATTATTTTTGCCGTAAATCTGTAGACACCATATATAAGGAGGACTTGAAGCATTATGTAGATAGATTGAAAACATAGTGATATAAGAAAAAAAATTATGGTTGAAAAATATTTGACAATTATTTTAAGGATTATCTTGTATAAATCGATGAACCACCACCGGGACAAAAAAATTGTAATTTACCATACATTAACATTTTTATACATTTTCTAGAAGGAGTTCATGTTAAAATTAATTAACGTTGTGTTCATTAATGATCTCGTTAGATATAAATTAATGATTCTGCCTTATTACACAATATATTTTTATTTTATTTTATCAAAATATATAATGTTTAAAAATAAATCAAATAGAAAAATTAAATATTATGGTTGTTTGTTGCCTCTATTATTATATATTACAATTACCATGATGACCGTAGCTCAAATTGCCTCTATTATATATTGCCAAAATTTTAAGAGAAATTGACTTAATACGGTAATTAACTTTTCGATTTGTTCATATAATTATCTTTTTTTTACACATCTAGGTAACAAACTTTTTGGAAGTGTTTACATATGACCATTATGACCGGCTGTAGCAGGTTACATCCGGTCATAATGGTCATATGTGAACACTTCCAAAAAAGTTCGTTACATAGATATGTACAAAAAATATATATTACTCAGATGTGAACAAACCGTAGAGGTAAAAGTATATTACACGAATGGTCCATGTAGTTTGGGTAATTTGTGTGTTTGGTCCCTAGCTTATTTTTTAACTTGGATGATCCTTACTGTTTTTTTTTTTGTTGTGCATTTGGTCTTTGTCTTACCTCAAAAGACTATCGTGCCCTTTTTTAATTAATTTTCTTATCTATGTATTTATTTTTTATATATTTTAAAAAATTAATAGACCCCACATATTTGTATCTCCTTACCTTAAACCTGAAACCACATTCGAGAAATTTAAGTTCGGTCCCCACCAGTCACCATCTCATCTCTCATCCTCCTCAACTTCTCTTTCCTTTCCATCTTTAATGGCATCAACTTCTTCACTATCCCTTCTTTTTTCGGTCCTTCAACTCCGGCGAACCAACACCACAACCCACTGTCTCTTCATTAAATTTTCCACCACCACAACCTAATAGTTGGGTTGTGGTGGTGGAAAATTCAATGAAGAGACAGTAGGTTGTGGTGTTGGTTCGCCGGAGTTGAAGGACAGATAAAAAGGGATAGTGAAGATGGTGATGTCATTAAAGATGGAAAGGAAAGAGAAGTTGAGGATGATGAGATATGGGATGGTGACTGGTGGGACCGAGCTTAAATTTCTCGAATGTGGTTTCAGGTTTAAGGTAAGGATATACAAATATGTGGGGTCTATTAATTTTTTAAAATATAATAAATACATAAATAAGAAAACTAATTAAAAAATAAATTAAAAAGGGCACAATAGTCTTTTTAGGTAAGGCAAGGACTAAACGCACAACAAAAATAAACAATAGGGATCATCCAAGTTAAAAAATAAGTTAGGGACCAAACGCACAAATTACCCAAACTACAGGGACCATTCGTGAATTTTACTTTTACCTTTACGGTTTGTTCACATCTGGGTAACTATCTTTTTTTGTACACATCTAGGTAACAAACTTTTTGGAAGTGTTCACATATGACCATTATGACCGGTTATGACCAGATGTAACCTGCTACAGCCGGTCATATTGGTAATATGTGAACACTTCCAAAAAGTTCGTTACCTAGATGTGTACAAAAAAAAGATAGTTACCCAGATGTGAACAAACTGAAAAGTTAATTACCTTATTAAGTCCATTTCCCAAATTTTAATCGGTACTTGTTGCAATATCTTATATCACCCCAATATTTAAGTTATGTAACAACTTAAATATCATAAATTTTGTCCAAAGAATAATAAGAACTGATTAGAAAACAAGATATATTTCAACTCGTCCTAAAACACAATTTATTCATACATTCAGATACTAAATATAAAACCTTTTGTAAACAAAAAAGGGTATCAATTTACATATAAGTTGGGGTTAAAATTTATAAATGATTAATGATTTTATGAAGTGGAGTGTATCTTCCTTTTTGAAAGTATTGTTGCTACGGAGACTAAAATGAAGTTTTGCTCATAATGTAAGATCGTAGTTGTGGAGTGCTTATAGGGCAGACTGCAGAGTAAACTATAGGATTCACTGTATGGTATTTGTGGCGTGTCTGCGGGAGCAGTTGCACTGCCTCGTAATCTTTCTTGGTACGTAGTTCATTAAGGAGCAGTTATGATATCTTTGATTAGCAGTTGTAGTCTCACAACAAAATAGTCGTTGTATCTCGACAGATCAGTTGTGGGGCACACGTGATGGGACAAATAAACTGATGATTTCTTTTAGGTCCAATCTAAATTAGATTTTAGTTAAACTTGTTTCTATAAATAAAGCTCCCTTATACGAACGTAACCCTAATGTAGATAACATTTTTCATGACTATGAATAAAAAATATATCTAGTTCATCTGTGGACGTAGCTTGATTTTTCTGCTCGAATGAACCGCATTAAATTCTTGTTTTCTCTATTTTTCTTCACATCTTTAAAGAACATGTTTGTGTATGTTTATCGAGTCTTATTCCTATAAAAAAACGAATATCAATTTCGAATCATACATGCTTTAGTCTTATGATAAATAGATATGAACTAGTAAGTTACTATCCCGACTTTGCGGGGGGACTGAACTTGCATAATTATAAAGTATAGAGAGCAAACATGTAAATATACAAAATTCTTTTGGCCAGATTGTGAAACCAAAAATATGTATAGATGAAACATGGCAAATATTGCAGGGGTTGAGCAGATGTATAATCTGCAAATTTTCTATTAGGTAAAGACTATTTTTTGTAATTTTTTTAAATATATGGACTGTTTCTTTAAAAAAATTGCATAAATACCTTTTCTATAAATTTTGAGGACAATTTTTGTATATACAAAATTTCTATTAATTATGGACTATTTTTGTAATTTTTTTAAACACATGGACCGTTTCTTTAAAAAAAATGTAGAAAATCTTTTCTATAAATTATAGGGACAATTATTGTAGTTTATTTTTTACACAATGGGGCAAACATGCTAACATGTGTAAATTTTAAACATCCGTAAAAAAAATTAGATGAACTTTTTCTGTAAATTACAAAATTATAAGGACGAAATATGCCAATAATGAAAATATTTGTGGCAAAACTTTGAAATGCAAGAAAGCTAAAGAAGAAATTTGCCAATAATGAAAACCTTGGTTGCAAAACTTTGAAATACAAGAAATTTATTGTTCATTTCGAGTTTGCAATTAGTATAAACTAGAATTTCATCATCCTGCGAGATGAGGCGATGAACACCTTTGCAAAGTAATCATAAAAGTATAAAATAAGTTTAGACCGACACAATTATGTATGGAGGAGACGGTCAAAAATAAGATATGAAAGTATATTTTGATTCATATAATACACAAATAACAATTAATTTAAAACTTATAATAATAAAAAGTAATATTAACAAAAATGAAAACTAA